ATTTTCCATCAAATTTCTTCTATTCTATTGCTCTGAGTGTGTAGAACGCAGTGGTGCTGCCCGAAGAGCTTGAGGTCACTAGAGTAGGCTGTAGTCTTTGCTAGAAAATTTCCAAAACCTCAATTTAAGCACGAGGTAGGCCCTTAGATATATCTAGTGATTATAATGTTCATATAAATCATTTTTTCATTCATAAACGTACATTTGGTTGAGTTTTGTGTTAAACATTGTTAAAGAGCCAATAATCGTAAACCTTCAAATTATTGTTAAAACTTTGAATTAATGATATAAAAACAATCTTTGAATGTTAGAGATCATTTCTATATGGTTTAATTGAAGTTTGGTAGCCTATAATGGTGTTTTCAAAAATTGGACCGAGGTTGAAGATGACGAGTTGCAGAACGGTCCACCACCGTGAGGAACGGTGGACCGTTCCGCAACCCGCTGATGTTCCTTATCGATACCAGGAATGGTCGACCGCCGATGGTAACAGTCGACAGTTCTGAGCCCAGTTGCACGGTGGCGGTAACGATCAACTGTCTGATAGTAACGGTCGACCATTCCGAGCTATTCCAGTAGTGGAAAACCTAATTTTTGAGCTGTAAAAACCTATTTTTGATACCATTCAACTATAAATCAGTGTTAGTATCATTTCCAAACTAAATATGATGTTTTGATAAATTCAATAACCTTATTTGATGTATGACGGTAAGCTAGGGTATGAACACAATGATAGGCCGCTGCTTGTTATGAGATATAATGATGATTTTTATTGATTATTGATTATGATGATTAAACCTTGATTAAAAATAAATATTCTAATTAAATGATGATTATGAATAATTAATGCTATCTAGAAGAACTTTAAGATAGAGCCTGTGTGACTTAATTAGTTTGGGCCTTACGTGTATGATGTCTGGTGGCCTCGGTAAAAACATACTACGGGATCTACAAACCAAACTAGAAGATAACTTGTTTGGGGATACCACCCACCAATAGTGAGTAGTCCACTATTCGGTTTTCTGTGCGTGACCTATAAGACTTGTGGGATAGGTCTTGATTTGGTTTCCTGCCTTAGACTAAAAATAGTTTAAGAGCTTTATGATCAATATGAATTTGGCCTTACACAAAAAATAGTTTAAGAGAATTGTTATGACTTTCCCTTAGACTAAGAATAGTTTAAGAGCACTATTGACACCATGAATATTGAATATCGGACTGAATATTATGTGCATGATATCAAATGATTTGAATATTTGATGCATTAGATATCCTTACTCAGCTTCACGTGTAGTATATTTTATTTTCTACACGCAGGAAAACAAAACAAAGAATAATGTGATGTTGATCCTCGCGGTAGATGGGGACGAGATGTCAGGATGGATTGTGATGGTTTTCCAGCTGTTATAATAAATATTCAAAATGAATTATTTCTAATTATGTTTGTGATGTGAATCGTAATTAAGCTTCCGCAAACTTATTATGAACTCTGATTATATTGAATTGATATTTATAATGAAACAGAGTTTTTAAATGTTTGAAATGTTTTAATTTTGTACGTTACTAAGTTAATACTTTAGTTTGAAAGGGGCTGTAGACCTGGACGGAATAAGGTGTTACGTTACACGAGGCACTATAGCCCTCTCCCAAGGTCGGCCTTGGTCACCTCACGAGACACTCAAGTCCTCTCCTAAGGCATCATAAGTCCTCTCTCAAAGTCGGCCTCTGCCACCTTGCAAGGCACTCAATCCCTTTTACCGAGGCACTCATAAGTTTTCTCCCAATATGCACACCTACAACCCATTTCCCATGACACAACCTTGATTACTCACAAGGGGTGGTCTGGCCAAGCCCGCCATATTTTTATCTTTGTGTGGATTCTTAAGGTAAATCAATTATGACGAAAAGTCGAACAGAGCGAGGTGACCAAAGACTCCTGACGGATCCAAGCATAGACATTATTTCCTCTTACCTTGGAATGCTTCCTTGGCTTAGGGAGTGGGGGACTCCGGGTGCTCGGCTGAAGAATGTTTCACCTCACATCATGAGAGCTCGGCAGATCAACATCTCGGTCTGTATTTACACTGTAGCAGTTTTCGTCATCATGCACTCTTTTGTTAGCCTTGGTTTGCTAAGCCTCGTGTTTTGATCTTAACAAACAATATAAGAGCTTAACGTTTGTTTAAGTGTTTCAGGTAAATAAAGAATCCATTAAGATTCAGTACTCAAGAATGAAGTCGAAACACTAAACTAGCGTAGAATATAGGTAGAAACCAATGTAAGGATATGACTTTATATACCTATATTCACAAGCTCAAAAGTACTCAAAAAAATATGTTTAAAACTATATCATAAACATCTTCAAATATCTAAAAGGTTTTAAACTCAAACACGAAGGATTAAGGATATTTTGAAAAACGCAGGACTGTAGCACGGGACCCCCCTACCGTCTAGACGGGACCCCCCTACCGTAATGGGTACCGTACTAAGATAGGTACCGCCAGAGAGTTTTTGCCTGAGAAGGTACCTAGCTACCGTAAGCACGGGACCCCCTACCGTATGTACGGGACCCCCCTACCGTATGGACGGGACCCCCCTACCGTAACCGTTAGGTTACTGTTCCTGATTTGTGATTTTGAATTAAATTAATCATAATCACCTCCCAACGGCTAATTAACACCTTCCACTATAAATACAAGCCTAATCCTTCATATTTCTTCAAGAAACAAAGCTCTAAACATCCTCTCTTTTTATTCTAAGTGTGTTCATCCTTTTATTAATTATTTTCAATATTTTGGCTATTTCAAGCCCCTTAAATTCCTCAATTTTATACACACACTTTGAGCTTGTGTTTCTAGTTATATACTCTCATATTCATAAGTTTATATTGTATTTTTGAGAGAATATAATTTCCTTCTACACCGGCTAAGTTTTGTTCTTCATTTTTATATTCTAGCCGTTGTGTAGAATCCTCTTTTGTGTTCTTCAAACACACCTTCTTACGGTCGAGAATAGCCGTTAAATTCTCACGTTGTAATGGTTAAGGATAGCCGTATAAATCCTTGGGTAAAGGTTCAAGGATAGCCTTTGAAATTAGGGGTGGGTTCGGTTTTTGCGGTTCGGTTTTTACCCAAAACCAAAGACAAAACGGAAGGTAAATTGGCGGTTCGGTTCGGTTCGGTTTTGCATAAAAAATATGTAAACCGTTGGTTATTCGGTTCGGTTTTATACGGTTTTTATTTCGGTTTTTTTCGGTTTATCAAAGTAGAAATTTATAAGCATTAAAAAATTGTAAAAACACTAACTCGATGGAGCAATAATAATATGTTGTGTTAGGTTTGGTTTTTTGGTTTGAGTTTTACACAAAAACAAAAATCAAACGAAAGGTTATTGTATCATTCGGTTCAATTTTACATAAAAAAATATGTGTTGAGTACCCAGCAAACATTTAGGAGATTCCAAATACTTCCAAAGACATCTTATGTGAAATTAATTACGAAGAATTTGTGTTTTTTGGTATAATACTTTCATTTTCATTATAACATCAAAGTATTTTTTTTATGTAAATATGTAAATTACTCGTATCAATATTTAATGTTAATATAATTCTTTATTTGAATTAGCTATTGGTGTTTATATTCTTAGATTTTTTAAAAGTTTATAATAGTATGGCTAAAATGTTTAATTAATAGTTAAGAAAATAATTCTAATCGACTAGTAATTTATTTGCATTTATATTTCTATGATTTTTCTACATATCACATATATTTATATATAAAAAGCGAAGTATCTAAGAAAGTTCGGTTTATTCGGTTCGGTTTGGTTTTTCAAAGTGAAAACCAAAACGGAACCAAAAACTAACGGTTCGGTTCAGTTTTTTTACATTCGGTTTCGGTTTTTTCGGTTCGGTTTTTTTTCTAGCTCGTTTCGATCGGTTTCGGTTCGGTTTGCGGTTTTCGGTTTTCCCAACCCAGCCCTATTTGAAATCCTTGGGGGAAGGGTAGAAGATAACCATTAAATCTTCATTGTAAACGATTCGAGATAGCCGTTGTGAAATCTTGGAGTGAATCCTATTGGCAAGGGTTGTTTGCCAAAACTAGTGCGGTGCTTTGACGGAGTTCAAGAGGCCGAGACTTAGTGGATTCGGAAATCCTTGAGGAGGAGCCTCGAGGTACTGGAGTAGGGGTTTCCCGAACCAGTATAAAATCGGTGTGCATTTAATTTACGCTTTTATTTCTGCGTTTTAGTTATTGCTTCCGCATTTGCCAACACCATTTTTATCAAACTCCGAAAAGATTTTAAACGCCTTATTCACCCCCCCCTCTAAGGCGTGGCCACAACGACTAAACCGACTAACAATTGGTATCAGAGCAATTTCGTAGTTGAAAGTGCTTAACTGCATCTACGACAAAGATCCACTTGTTGTGTCCCTTTTTAAATTTGAATTTTTAAACTCAAAATTTTATTATTTTCTTTAAATTCAAATTTATTAAAAAATGGCCCAAATGGACTCCCAAAGCATCCACCGCCCTCCGTTTTTTAATGGCCAAAATTATTCTTATTGGAAAATGCGGATGGAATATTTTATTCAATCAATTGATTATGATTTATGGTTGAATGTACTTCACGGGCCATTTGTGCCGAGTAGTGATAGCCTTGCAGGTTTATCTTCGGAGGATAAGAGAAAATTATCCATGAATGCAAAGGCAATCAATATCCTTCATTGCTCTCTTGGCCCCGACGAATTTGCAAGAGTGAGTACATGCAAAACAGCCAAGGAAGTATGGGATCTACTAGAAGCCACACACGGAGGAGACATCTCAACCAAGCAAACGATGATTGCCTTAGGAAACTCGGAGTACGAATCCTTCAAGAAAGGGCCATGTGAGACAATCCAAGACATGAACAAGAGGTTCAACGAGATTGTCAACAAATTGAGTAAGTTGGGTAAGACATATACTACTTTCGAGCTTAATACGAAAATTCTATTTTCTTTACCTAAAGAATGACATAGTAGTATAGTGGATTTATTACCCAAATGTGATAAGGCCGAAACCGCCCACATTTGGTCTTCCTTGTATTCTCACGAACTTTTGTTGAGAAAGATCAAAGAGGAAGAAATGCGTGAAAATCCCAAGCTTACCAACGCCTTCAAAGCTTCCAAAGACTCGTCAAGTGAAGAATCAAGCGAGTCAAATGATTCAAATGACTCAAGCTCCTCGGAAGAGTCAAATGACGAGGAAGATGAAGAGAAAGCGATGAGAATGAAATATACAGATTTCCTCAAATGGAAGAAGTATGTGAAGAGGAAAGAAGTATATTCAAAGCCGAAAAAAGTGCGGCATAAGCCAAGGTAAATTCTTCTAACTTATTGGGATAAGATATTTTGTTTTGTTTTAATTATTTTCAAAAATAAAACCTTATCTCATACGTGCTTTTATTTGCTTTAGCCTTGGTTTGCATGATTAAATAATTTTTTTGAATTCATCTTTAAATCATGCTTTTTAGAAAATAATCCCTAAAAACCCCTGGAAAAAATAAAGTTTTTAAACTTGCATCATTTTAGGGGGAGTTTTTGTTTTTTAGGGGGAGTTTTGTTGTAAATGCACCTTTTGCCCAATGATCTCCAAACTATCATTTTTCCTAAAAATTCATTTTGATAGGGGGAGGGTTTCAAGAAGTTATACATGGTTAAAATTTTCAAAACGCCCTTTTTGATTTTGACAAAAGGGGGAGAAGATGTATACTTCAAAGTGGTGCATATGCAACTTGACTTGAGTGCATTCTTGTGTAACTATTTGCATCAAAATTAAACTTTTAATAAACACAAGAAAAATTTCAAAGTGAGTATTTTCAATATGCTTATTCTTAGGGGGAGCTTGCTTGCTTCATTATTTTACTCCCGCCTAACTCACTTTGAAGTATATTGTTTGTCAACATCAAAAAGGGGGAGATTGTTAGCCTTGGTTTGCTAAGCCTTGTGTTTTGATGTTAACAAACAATATAAGAGCTTAACGTTTGATTAAGTATTTCAGGTAAAAAAAGAATCCATTAAGATTCAGTACTCAAGAATGAAGTCGAAACACTAAACTAGCGTAGAATATAGGTAGAAACCAATGTAAGGATATGACTTTATATACCTATATTCACAAGCTCAAAAGTACTCAAAAAATATGTTTAAAACTATCTCATAAACATCTTCAAATATCTAAAAGGTTTTAAACTCAAACACGAAGGATTAAGGATATTTTGAAAAACGCAGGACTGTAGCACGGGACCCCCTACCGTCTGCACGGGACCCCCCTACCGTCTGGACGGGACCCCCCTACCGTCTGGACGGGACCCCCCTACCGTAATGGGTACCGTACTAAGATAGGTACCGCCAAAGAGTTTTGGCCTGAGAAGGTACCTAGCTACCGTAAGCACGGGACCCCCCTACCGTATGGACGGGACCCCCCTACTGTAACCGTTAGGTTACTGTTCCTGATTTGTGATTTTGAATTAAATTAATCCTAATCACCTCCCAATGGCTAATTAACATCTTCCACTATAAATACAAGCCTAATCCTTCATATTTCTTCAAGAAATAAAGCTCTAAACATCCTCTCTTTTTATTCTAAGTGTGTTCATCCTTTTATTAATTATTTTCAATATTTTGGTTATTTCAAGAGCCTTAAATTCTTGAATTTTATACACACACTTTGAGCTTGTGTTTCTAGTTATATACTCTCATATTCATAAGTTTATATTGTATTTTTGAGAGAGTATAATTTCCTTCTACACCGGCTAAGTTTTGTTCTTCATTTTTATATTCTAGCCGTTGTGTAGAATCCTCTTTTGTGTTCTTCAAACACACCTTCTTACGGTCGAGAATAGCCGTTAAATTCTCA